AACTATTGTCTGTGTCCATGGGTTAAGCTTATGTGCATATAAGTTCTTTGGTTAACCTCTTCCCACCCCCACAAATGAGCTTGTTTCTTGTTTGTTTTGTTTTGTTGATCCTCACCCGAGGATATTTTTTCCATTGTTTTTTAGAGAGTGGAAGGGAGGGAGGGAGAGAGAGAAACATGATTGAGAGAGACACATCGGATTTGTTGCCTCCCACATGTGCCCCAACCAGAGTCTGGGGTGCCCTTGACCTGAAATCGAACCTGATACTCTAACCACTGAGCCACACTGACCAGGGCTCCTGTTTGTTAATTTATCTAATCTAGGTTGGATTGATGATAATGCTAATTATAGGAGATAAGGTGTATCTTACGTTTTTCTTTTAATAACCTACATAGTAGAGATACCAGTCTCACAAAGGTATGTTGATGGGACTGGAAATAGAAATCTTTAAGCAATTTTAACAAGTTCAGTATGTTCATTTTTAGCTTTTATCCAAAATGAAACAACTATTGGTATATTTTCAGTATTTATCTTGATTCTTTTATTAGTAGCCAGTTCTTGCAATTGGTCCTATGACGTTACAGTTAAATTTAAATCTTTCAGTGAAAAAAATGGTTTCCAGACTTTATACATTTAATGTCATATATTATAACATGGTTTTACTGCACAACTAGTACAGTTTGTACCACATGCAGCTCACCACACAAATGCATCAGCAACCGAACTGGTCTATACCCTGTTCAGCAAGGCAACCCTACTGATGTGAGCTTGGATGTATGGCATTATTATGTTGCTGTGAAAAATTTCTAAATCCATATACTTATTTTCTGTAGTTATATCATTGTGGATCAGTGAGAGTCTATGAACTCTCTTTTTCATATATCCCTTTTTCACATATTATATGGTGTCCTAACCTCAAAGATAGATAAATAAAAGGAGTACTATAAAAAGCATTCAAGTGAAATCTGGTGGCTTAACTGAGAGAGAGGAGGGAAAGAAGGTGATTAATATTTATTGGCACCTGATAGGTGTACCCATCACTTCACATACATAGTAAAAAAAGTGGGATTATATACCTCCAGTGATACCAGAAAAATGAGGTACTTTTATACTTATTTATTGTTTATTCTGTTTGTTTTATAAACACTTCGGGCATTTTAAAAAAATGTGTTTTTATTGATTTTAGTGGGGGGAGAAACATGGAGGTGAGAAACATCGATAGGTTGCCTCCTGCATGCACCCTGACTGGGAAACTAACTGGTGATCTTTCAGTGCATGGGACAACAGTCAACCAACTGAACCATACTGGCCAGGGCACTTCAGGAATTTTATAAAGGATGACAAAATTAGTTTGTGCTGTCTTATAAACCACAGGAAATCTTTCATCCTCTATAGTAAACTGATATAGTGTCTCTTCCTTAATACTAGTTAAATCTACCTTATAACTAATCAAAATCATTTACATAGCAGTTTAACTCCTTAAACTAAAACTAGAACTAACACACAACACTGGAAAAATGATTCACCATTATGGTCGTGTGTTCTTTTACTATTTCAGTTAAACTTTAAATTAATTGGTTTTTATAGTGGCCTTCAATAATCTATTTATAAATCAGTAGCATGCAGTTAATCAGAAAATTCTATGATTTTATGATGTGGATTACCTTTTTTAAATTAAGGTTTTGGCTTGGACAACAGCGTTGCAAACAATCTATAAAACATCTGCCTACAATAAGCACTGAAACATTGCAGCTGTCCAATTACTCAACTCATCCTATTGGAAAACTTTCTAAGAATAAGCTGTTCATTAAACTTACTCGTCTTCCACAGTACTACATTGTAAGTATGCAAAGTGGTGATTTGGGTTATCGATTTCAGTAATTCTGTCAGTATCTTGAATGATTTATTGTTTAATTTGCAAATGTATTTTATTGGAAAGCTGACTTTTGTATAGTGCTTCTCAACCCAGGAGAGGAAGGAACAATGGTAGGAATGGGAGAGAGGGGAAAATTCTCTCTCTAAGAAATTACATAATGATCAGACGGGGTTAGGGGATATAAGATACGCCCCCATTCCTCACCCTAGGATCTTTCCTATAGTGAAGCCTAGTTTCTGCTTGGAATGAGGCATCATCTTTGTATAAGAAGAAAAAATTTGAAAGCAATTACTGTGAAGGTTTGGAGATGTTTTGGTGTCAGATAAATTTGCTTGGTTTTAATCAAATGTTGACTGGTATAATGCAGCCTTTTAATATGGGCTGGCTGGAGGAGCTTTATTTTCTAATCCTTAATTGATTAAAGGTATATATATCCACTATATTGGTTGCACATACCTTTCAGGGCATAGTAAGATCCTTTCTTATCCCTTTTTCACTCTTTCTAGCTGTTTTCCCGTTAGTTTCTTTGAGGTCTTTGAATTGCTTAAAATTTTCAAAAATTTGAAATATGAACTTACCCTAAATACAGTTTCCTGCTTGTGGAAATTTCTGTGTACACCAAGTAGATACTTCTGGCTAAGAATCTAATGTGTTTGAAAAACTTAATTCAGGATTGTTGGTTGAAGGTAATGGGAGTGAATTTTTTTAAAGCTTTTGAGCTGTACTTTTGAAAGACATCTTTAAAAAGTGCCCTGTGGCTTTCTGCCTCCACTGCTGCCATGAATCCCATGAAAAAGCTTGCGGCAAAGGGGAGCGGGGAGCAAAAAAAAGCAGGTTCTGAAGTTTACGCTTGAGAGATAGTTGTCATTTGCTCTGCCATAGTAGTGGAATTCTTAGGATGTTTTAATGGTTAAGGGAGACAGCAGGGCAGTTTGAAATAGGTAACATTTTACAGAATTCTAGCAGACCTTCTGGACTTAAGCATAAAATTTTTTTCAATTTATAAGCTAAGGTATGAATATCAAGAATACCTAATGCGCATAATCTAAATGTTCCATTTGCTGTAGTTTATGGTTTTTACTATTGTTCTTTAGTCTGATCTATCTTTTGGAAAATAAATTATATATTTACTAGGAATACTTATTTTGACATCACAGTTGATTTGTTTAAAGAGAAAAAGATACCATTAGATTTATAATTCTGAGCCCTATTTGATATGAGGAAAACATCCAACACCTATTATTTCTCTGAATCTCATTTCTGATTTGGGCCTTTTTAGGTTGTAGAGATGTTAGAGGTTCCCAATAAACCCACACAGCTGTCATACAAGTACTACTTCATGTCTGTGAGTGCTGGGGAGCGTGAAGACAGCCCTGTCATGGCACTCGTGCTGCAGCAGTTCAAGGACAACGTCCAGGAATTGATCTTACGTACAAAAACCGGGAAACAGCCTAGAACCAGCACCAAGCGCAAGGTATGATAACGTGGAAATGAGCACGAGAATTTGTGTAACTTCGTTGTAGTTTTAAACTGTTTTTAATATGGGAAAGAATTAGATAATGGTTTTTAAAAAACTCAGCAGCAATAAGGTTTAAGTAACAATTGTCTACATTTTCTTGAAAATGCTTCTCTTTTCATTAATAATTAATTTTCCACCATTTTCCACAAGAGAGCTTGTTAAATACACAGTATTTACTACTAAATTTCTCTTGTTTAGGCCAATATTTGCTCAATAAATATTTGTTGAATGAGTAAGATTTTTACTTAACCTTGAGCTTTGTTATAATAGTTTAACTGCCTTAAGTAATTGTATCACATGTACTTTTTACTTTTTTACTCTGTTCTTAAATTCTAGTTGTCTGATGATTTATGTCCAGTAGAACCTAAGAAAACCAAACGATCAGGAGAAATGTGTGCCTTCAATAAAATTCTAGCTCACTTTGTTGCTGTGTGTGATACAAATATGCCATTTGTAGGACTTCAGTTGGAGGTAATTTTTGGAACAATTTTGGGTACTCTAAATGAAAGAGTAATTTTTAAAATGCTTTGCTAAAGCTACATAGATTCCATTAGGAGAATCAGAACGACTGTCACCTTGTTCATTTTGGGAGGGGTGGGGTTGAAATAATAGCATCTCATGGTAATAACATGTAAAACGACTTAAATTATTTCCTCTCCCTGATTCCAAATTGTGGGCCTTCTGCTCTTTATGGAAATAGAAAGTAAATTCTTCCCACTTTTAAGAGAAGAAAGGGCAACTTTTGAGAATTAACATCTTGCATACCTCTTAGCAGTAGCATTATTTAACTCTGTTAGACATAGTTAGTTGATAAAGGAAAGGTGTGGCTTATTTTTGAGTTGGCGAAGCCATACATATTGCTTACACACTAATAAAATTGGGTTCCTTTCCCCTGGCCAGTGTGGCTCAGTGGTTGAGCATCGACCTATGGACCTGGAGGTCACAGTTCGATTCCTGGTCAAGGCACATGCCTGGGGTTCAGGCTTGATCCCCAGTGGGGGGCATGCAGGAGGCAGCCTATCAATAATTCTCTCTCATCACTGATATTTCTCTCTTTCTCTCTCCCTCTGCCTTCCTCTCTCTGAAATCAATAAAAATATATTTTTTTAAAAATTGAGTTCCTTTCTGAGAAGCAGGTCAGAAAGAATACTAAACTGAATTTACTTTAGTCACATGAAAGATGCAATAGACTTATGCAGAGTTAGTGTTTTTCAAGAATACACAGTTGTGATAATCCAGCATGACCCCCAAACATGAAAGTAAAGGGGGAGAGAACAGACAGAACCTGCATTTTTCAAAAAGGGCTTTAGACAAGAATCTGCAACCGTTAAAAGTGATGTGCTAAAACCTTAATTATTTCACTCTAGTTTAAAGTTTTACTTTTTGTAAGACTTCTTCCCTGTGTAAATTATTGTGAATGAGATCTGGAAATGTGAAAGTGGATTATTTCAGTTGCCCTGATGATGTAGTCTCAAGACTTTTGGAAAACACTTCCATGCTCTAGAGCAGGAATTGGCAAACTTTTATGTAAAGGGCCAGATAGTATATATTTTAGGCGTGTGGGGCAGTGGTCTCATGCGACAGATACTCAAATCTATTGTGTAGTGTGAACCAGCCATAGTTGATATTTAAACAAATGAGCGTGGCTATGTTAAATAACACTTATTTATAAAAATAGGCAGTGGGCTGGATTTGACCATGAGCTGTTGTATGCTGACCGCTGCTTTATAGGGCTTTGGGATCTGAAGGTGGGGGATCAGGTATGATATTGTGAGGAGCATCAATAGCCCAGAGAACTCCAAGCCCCGAAGCAGGCACCTAAAATAGATAATCCAGTCTTCAGTGTCCCAGCTCCTAGAGCTGTGAGCTTGATGAATGTCCTCGTATCTGGATACTGGCCATAGCTCCTAAACTGTACAGTCCATGTCCATGCTTCCCATCTGCTTGACTGTGTTCTTGGGCTTTTTCATTGTGTACTTTTGCAGTAGGAAGGGAGGCTACATGGTGCCCAGGAGCAATGTAATGCAATTGTTTCCTCTTTCCCTGCCTGGTCTCTCTCCCCCTACCCACCGGCTAGAAATTTTAGAAACCTGTGTCTTTGTAGTGCCCACATAGACTAACACCTATAGATATATGTCCTCCCTGTCCCCCTTCTCTTCACTCCTATACCTATTGCACACATAAGACATGAGCTCTATTAAACTCAGTCAAGCTCTTAAAAACTTACCTACTTTTCTTCTCTTAATGAAAAAGACATATTAAAGACAAAAGCAAGCACATTTTCTGCTTAAAGCAATTTGTACTGAGATGTGAATAACTAAATGTAATATTATCAGGGATGTTTATTTCTCTGATCCATAGAATAAAGGCAACATTTTTTCAGCCCTCCTACGCTTTGATTCCTTTTGAATCTGAACCCCTACTGCCTATTTGGTCAGGGGTTCTTTTTCTTTTTTTTCAATCCTCACCCAAGGATATTTTTACATTGCTTTTTAGAGAGCGGAAGGGAGAGAGAAACATCGATGTGAGAGAGGCACATCAATTGGTTGCCTCCTGCACGCACCCCAACTGGGGCCGGGGATCGAGCCTGCAGCCAAGGTACATGCCTTTGGCCGGAATTGAACCTGGGACCCTTCATTCCACAGGCTGACACTCTAACCGCTAAGCCAAACCAGCTAGGGCAGGGGTTCATTTTCTAAACCTCTGTCCTTCCCAGGCCAAAAGAGCAGGGTTCAGTCAAATACTTAGGGCTGCCTTAAATCATTTCTGGAACAAGGTAGATATAAATAGTCTGCCATATAAGACCTGGGAATATCTGCCAAAGGCAAACATTTGGTAGATCAGATGACTTTCTGGGTACGTAAATACCCTGTGGTTCCACTGACAGGGTCTCAGGCACTATCCCTGCATTCATCTTTTTAACACACTTTCTGAACCCTTCAATTGGGAAAAAGACCTCATTTAGGTAAATGCATAAATTGGAAATCTTTTCTTCTTGGGTTTCACAGGAAATAGTTTGTTAAAAATAAAAATGTATTCTAGAAAAGTCCTGAACTAAAAAAATATTGTTTGTAATTACAAGTGAGGTATGACTATCATTCAAACAGTGTTTCAAACAAACATAATTGAATTATACAAGTAAATCAGTCTTATTTTACAATTGTATCATTTGGAACCACCAGAATAGATTATGGATTGCTTTTGGCTCACTACAAAAATTAGATCAGTCTCCTGAATTTTGAAGATTTGTCACCTATGGAGGTGTTTTTTAACTAGAAGCTCTAGGTCATCTTTAAGTTTCACTGAACTTAATATAGTTCCCAGAAAATCAAATGATGCAGACAGTACTCATGCCTAATGTGTTGTAACTTTGGGAAAGACTGGCCCTAGAAGAGATGCCAGGGCAGTAAGCAGTAGTACTTAGAAAAGGTGGTTTCCTTTGTAAAATTGGTGATCTGATATAACTGTGCTTTTCTCCTTCTAGTTGTCCAATCTGGAGATTCCACACCAAGGAGTGCAAATGGAAGGTGATGGCTTCAGCCATGCAATTCGCTTATTGAAGTAAGTCCCTGTCATGTGTGCCACTTGGTGCCACACATTGCAGCCACACTATCAGAATTGCTCCTCTCCTTTCATAAGACAGCATAAAGCATGTTCAGAACCTGTGGATGTCACCAATTTCTGCATAAAATTACTAAGGTCTGGGGGAGGATTCTCTTTCACCTGCTGAGGGACAGTCCAGCACAACTTGGTATTTTAGGTTGTCTTTCCTCTTCATTTCATTCATTCAACAGATATTTCCTGAGTGTGACTATGTGTCAGGATTGAATTCTGGTGGAGCCCTTCATTATGCTCTGGGTTCACCTAGCAGGGGGATCTGGGCTAGTGCAGAAGTCAGGAAAGGTAGCTCTGAGGAAGTACCAGTTGTGCTCTGACTGCAGGAGAGGTGAGAGTTAGAAGAAAGGGGGCAAGGGTGGGAGTAGGTGGTCCTAACCAGAAGGGATAACTGCTTTTGTGAAGGCTTGGAGACAAGAGAGCTCAGCATCCTGGAAATGAAAGAAGTTCAGCGTGGCAGGAGTTGGGAGAGAGGAATATGGAGATGTGAGCAGGAAGGGGTCAGGTCACATGGGCTTTGTAAGTGTCCTTAAGGAATTTAGACTTTATCCTAATGGCAGTAAGAAGCCATCAGATGATTTTAAACAGAAACTGACATCATTACATAGGTGTGGTTTTTTTTGTTTTTTTTGTTGTTGTTTTTTTAAATATATCTTTATTGATTTCAGAAAGAGGAAAGGAGAGGGAGAGAGATAGAAACATCAATGATGAGAGAGTCATTGATCGAGCCCGCAACCCGGGCATGTGCCCTCAACCACTGAGCCACGCCCGGCCGGGCCATAGGTGTTTTTGAAAGCTCACCATGAAGCAATATGGAGAATAAGTTGGAGAGAAATAAGACTGAACTAGTGAAACCAGTTGTTGAAATGGTTCACAGAGTTGTTGATAGCTTGGACTAGGGAAGGTTCTACAGGGACTTAGGGGATGAAGTATTGTTTTGAAAAATATGTTTTTATTGATTTTAGAGAGAGAGGCAGGGAGAGGGATAGAGTGATAGAAACATCGATGAGAGAAACATTGATTGGCCGCCTCCTGCATGCCTCCCACTGGGGATTGAGCCCGCAACCCGAGCATGTGTCCTGACCGGGAATCAAACCAGTGACCTGTTGTTTCATGGGTCGACGCTCAACTGCTGAGCCATGCCGGCTTGGCAGGGTATGAAATGTTTTAAGTGTCGGTGATTGGANTTTTTTTTTTTTTTTTTTTTAATATATATATTTTTATTTTTTAGCGAGAAAGAGAGAGAAACATCTATGTGAGAAATATCATTCGGTTGCCTCCCGTACACACCCTGACCTGGGATCAAACCCAGAATCTGGGTATGTGCCCTGACTGAGAATTGAACTTGCAACCTTGTGGTGGAAGACACTCAGCCAAGTGAGCCACACCAGCCAGGGCAAGAGATCGGCCTTTTTGGTGCAGAAAACATTTTCTTTTTTGGCATTTGTATTGTTTCTTAGATGTTGCTTAATAATATAAATCATATAAGCAATTTTTATTGGTTGAATTTCTCTATCTGAAAACACCCAACAGCTCTGCAATTTGAGCCAGCAGGGTTGCTTGGGAATCAGTTTTTTTCTATGGAAGATGGGAAGGGCTAGCAAATGGCATACACTCCACCTGCATGTCATGGCACTTACTCTAGATAAAGCGTTGAAGAACTGGAATAGCTTCCCTTCCTGGCTATCTTAATGCCATCTCTACGAAATGTTGTTTTCAGGAGCAGAAGAGCTAGTCTTACAATGGAAATCAATAGGAAAATGTAGTACTTTTAATTTAATTGCTTTTTGGCTTTGAATTACTTCTGCTTAAAATGCAGAGTATTTTTTTCTTTTCACTCTACTTGGCAACTGCAGATAAGTAGGTGATGTTAACATTTGTGTACTATTTTTTTAGTTATGTTTTTCATATTTTGCAAGAGTTTAAAATATCTTATGCTCAGCATTTTTATGAAAGAAATACCAGTCCCCTTCTTGAACTCAAGAGAACTCAATACTCCTACCTAAAAAGGAAGCACTTCATTTTACAATAATTTTTAAGGAAGTCTTTATATCCTGGCTAATGTTTTCTATATTTAAAACATAAAAGGAGAATATATAGAAATGAATAAGTTAAAGGTAACTGTCTAGTACATGCTGTACATTATGAGGGTAGGATATAGAACTGAAAAAAAAAGTAAACAAGTGTCTAAACATGATTTTACTAAATTAAAATCCTGCATAGATCTAATTAGTATGTAATTACTCTAATGCATTTAATCTTCAGAAACTCTTCTTTTACAAAGCTTTTAGTCCTGGATATGTTTATATTAAATGGGAGTATAAGTTGATATTTCAAAGCTTTAAAATTAGCACGTTTTTCTTCTCTTTGCTAAAAATCTGTTCTTGTTCAGCTTATCTCTTTGAAAATCTGTTGAGCTGGCCTCCTTAATGTATTTCTGAAAGTATCATGCCAAACACCCTAGATTGCTATGGTTCATGGACCTATTGCCTTGTGCAGATTGCAAAAGAGCCTTGAGCTTACAGCACAAATGACACAAGTCTCAAGAACAGCATGCTCATGGTGCCTAGTTTTGAGCTCTTGAGTAAACCTCCCACCCTCTCCTGAACTAACATTATAGTAATGGGCAATGGTGCTGGTCCTCTAGCCACATCCACAAGGTTTTTTCATCTCCTCCATTGTGTTTCTTTGCCTCTTACAACTTATGCAAGTAATACATAGACCCAGTTCTTTTTTGCAAGTTATGTGACTCAGCTTTTGTCAGTTGTGTTACTGAATTCTTCTGCATATGCAGGTGCAACCTTTATAAAACCCTCTTCCCTTTTCTTGTAGGCATAATTGTGCTTCTTTTTACCAGCACTTTCAGTGATTGCCTGCTTTTGCACCACAGGGACATAATGTGGTTACTGATGTTTGTAAAACCGCTCAGAATGAAACTGACACACAGCACATAATGGCCTAAAAGGAATAATGCTGATACACATCTGCCCTAGAAGACCAAAGCCTAGTTCCTAAATTTGTTCAATACTCAAATTATAGGAGAAAAATCCGTCAGAAGTAGCTGTTTAGATCGAAAAACCTTTTTGAGTTGGTAGAAATTTTCAGATAAGGTAAATCCATTGTCCTGGAAATGTCTTCCTCAGTTCTTAATTTTTGGCAAATATAGTAGTATGAATTTGTGACAATTTTGTCTGGTTTCCTTTTGGGGAACCTGTTGTTTTCTTTCCCTCACATGATCATGTGTGGAAGATTAAAGTTATAATTGTAGTTTACTTTATTCTCTTCATTAACATTTATAACCTTAAAAGCAATAAATATTTTCCAAGTTCCTTGAAGTAGAGCCAATTTGTGTCACAGATTAAGAAATTGACATGGAATGTATTTTCAAAATAGTGTTCCTGAGAGCATAAATTGGAAGGAATCTTACTCTTACCTTAGTTCTTACTTGAAAATATGCTGGCTTCTGTGAAAGGTAGAGGCAGGCAAAAGTCCTCAGTATACCTATGACATTGAAAAGCATATATGTGCCCAGCCGGAGTGGCTCAGTTGGTTGAACATCGTCCTGTGCACCAAAAGGTTGCCTGTTCGATTTTCTGTCAGGGCACACACCTGGGTTTCAGGTTCAATCCCCAGTCTGGGTGGGTACGGAAGGCAGCCGATTGACGGTCCCCTTTCACATCGATGTTTCTTTCTCTCTCTCCCTCCCCCCATCTCTCTCTCTTTCTTTCTCTCTCTCTCTCTCTCTCTCTCTCTCTCTCTCTCTTTCTCTCAGCGTGTCCTCAGGTGAGAATTAAAAAATAGGAAGAAGAAAGAAAAGCATATATGCAATGTGTGTGATTCCTATAACTACCCAAAATAAAATCTTTCTGGTGCTGATAAAAGACATATAGTATGGAAGATTGACTTTTGAAAAACTTAAAAAGCTATACATTTAAGAGGAGCTGTGATGAACTTTTAATTGAGAAAATTTCAGTACTATGTTAATTTTATTTTTATGCAGCCTGTATAGATTTCTTCCCCCCTACAAAGTTTATTTTTTACCATATGCAATTTCTCTTTTTTGCTTTCTTAAGTTGTTTATTCTAGGTCAGTGGTTCTCAACCCCAGGGGAGTTTTGCCCTCTAGGAGACATTTGGCAATGTTTGGAGATATTTTTGGTTATCATTAACTGAGAAGAGGGGGTAGAGGTGCTCCTGGCATCTGGTAGGTAGAGACCAGGGCTGCATTGGACAGCCCTCAAAATGTCAATATTGCCAAGATTGAAAAACCCTGTTCTAGGTGTTATATTCTGAATAAGAGACCTGAACCAAGATTCCATGTTTCCAGTTATATTTGTTGTTTTTTGCCTTAGTTATTGATAATCATACCAAGTCTGAAAATTAATCCACTTTCCCTATGAGTTAAAGGATAATGTATAGTTAAATAATATATTATCTCATTATTTCATCCATTACTGAAAAAACAGTTAAACTGTATTACTTCTCAATGTTTTATGACAAATAAGATAGTGATAAAGCTGTAGGAAAATGAATAGGTAGGTGTTGTAAGACACCAAAGCTAATACATTCCTCTTGTATGTGATATATGTAAGTGATAATAGGTATGCTAAATGAATTAATACATGTAAAGCTCATCACAATGAGTGTTGCCTTTACAGAGGGGGAAGAGAAGGGGGAATAATGAACCGTAATTTTGTCATGGCAGTCAGTGATCAAGACTTGGTTTACTTTGGGGAATTAACATATATGAATACCTGTTGTATCAGCCACCAGAAGCACTTTATATGTATTTTGGCATGTCTTAAAATCACTGACCATGAGATAATGCTTTATCTCCATTTCATAGTTGGGAAACTGAAATCCAGAGGGTTTAAATGTGGCTGAGTCAGAATTAAAATGCAGGTCCCTAACTCCAACGTCGTTGTTCTTTCTACTGTATCGTTCTGCCCTTAAAGAGTGATTTTACAAGTATTTTGTTCCTTAGTTTTTCCTTGAGGATGTTCTAAAATGATATTTTTTAGAAAACCAATATCCTTGATTTTCATTTTGAAGAATTGTGGTCTTTTCTAATAATAAGATTAAGGATGGAAACAAACATCGCTTGTTAAAATGAGTCTTAACCTATGCTGAAGTAAATAGAAATGGGCTAACTGCTGTGAATTGCTATGAATTGCTATGAATTGCTTCCTTCTTTTATAGAAGGTGCCTAGTAGGGGAGTTTGAACTGAAGCTCTAATGTAAATACCTTTCCTGTCATTGTGGAGATTGTGCTTTTGTCTTTCTGTGATGTGAAGTATACTTCATATGCTGTCTTTCATCACCAGAATTCCTCCCTGTAAGGGTGTAAATGAGGAAACCCAGAAGGCTCTGGAACGCTCTCTCCTCGATTGCACTTTCCGATTGCAAGGTAGAAATAATCGCACGTGGGTGGCAGAGTTAGTGTTTGCAAATTGTCCGCTTAATGGCACTTCTACCAGGGAACAAGGTGAGATGTTTCACATACTTTGTCTTTATATATTTCTGGATATTTTGTTTTTCATATTCATTGCTATTAACCTTCTTTCTTAATCCTGTAGGACCATCCCGGCATGTTTATCTAACATATGAAAACCTGTTGTCTGAACCCGTTGGTGGTAGAAAAGTGGTTGAGATGTTCCTTAATGACTGGAACAGCATTGCACGATTATATGAGTGTGTGTTGGAATTTGCACGTTCTCTACCAGGTACATGTGACAATCTTCACACACACCCTCCTTTTTTATTTGAAGTAAAATATCCACATTGTAAAAAAATTTCAAAAGTATACCTGATGAAAAATAAGTTTCCCTTTTAACTTAGGCTTCAATTTCCTTCTCCCAGAGACGACCACTGTTAAATTTCTTAGGTATCCAGAAATTTTTACACAGGTTTACCATATTATATTAATAGCTAATACTTACAGAGGGTTTACTATGTGCCATACAGTGTAATAAACAGTTTGCTTGTATTAACTCATTTACTCCCCATAATCACCCTCCCTTTGAGGTGGGTAAATTATTCATTTTACAAATGAAGAAAAGAAGTCACAGAGACTTAAGAAACTTGTAAATAGTCACATAGCTAGTTAAATGGCATAGCTGGGATTGAAACCTCTAACCACTATACTACATTGCTTCAATATATCTCCACCGCTGCCCAGCCCCCTTTTGTAGAAATGGAAGTAGAAACTTAGTTTCTATTTATGCCCGCCCTTCCTTCCTTCCTTCCTTCCTTCCTTCCT